TTATGATGAACATTTTTTTGAACAAAATTAAAATCATGTTTTTGAGAATCAACACGACTTCTTTCAATAAATATCCTTAAACTAACTACAAATTATCCAGAAACCTTTTTTTAATGATTGTGAGGATTTTTTTTTCTAACGCAAAACGCTTATCATACATTTTTCATACATGAAAATTGTACGATAGGCATTTTTTTTATCATAAATTAAAATTCACTTTTTATTGAGCAGAAAGATTCAAAAGAGGGAAATAGAACATAAGTGTTTCTCTACAGACGTTTAATGCAGTTTTTAAATTTTGTATGAAAATTGTATGACAAGCATTTTTTCCATAGAAATTGTATGACAACCATTATTCTTATATGGACGTCAGCTCAGATGCAAACTTTTTCTTCTGTGATGATTTTTGAAAAAGTTTATTATTTATTGGCCTTATGGTAGACATCAGTCATTATAGACAGACATAAATCAAAGAAAAAAGTGTGCAACACTTAGGTTTCAACTCAAAAAATAGTTTTTTACTTCTACTGTTGGTAAAATTTTTAATTCTGTTGGTAAAATTAGCATTGGTTAAATTTTTAATTGATTAGGTTTTGTGAGGACATGTTTCTAGCTCAATCAGCTGCTCTTTTGCCTATTGTCGAAAGAAAACAATTACATTAATTATATTTGATATGAATGTATTCTGTTTTTTTTTGTTTCCAGTCAGCTCATTGAATTTTTTTCTGAAGAAACCCAAATTTTTCCAACTAAATTTGTTTGCTCAGTCTCCGTTGACAGAACTTTTTGCTTTTTTTATTGCCTTCAATTTTTTGCTCTGCCTCTAATTTTGTTGTTCATCTCTCTCGAGTAAGTTTGTCTGAACACCTTCTTTTAGACAAAAATATCAATCCACGGCTTTCCAGGTGTTCATTTGCCGTTTATTTCAGGTTGCATTGATAAAAATTATTTGCAAGTTTGTTTGAACTTTTCTAAGGTTGTTTTGCACTAAAGTGAAAATGTTTTCTAGAAGAATTTTCAATGTTTTCATACAGGTGCATCGCAAAAGAAAATCTTAGGAAAATCTTACATTTCTTTCTGTGTAAGGATCCGTTCTGTTTTTTTTTCCTTGGAATTTTAATTTTGGCTCAAAGATATTCTAAAATTGTTCCTCAAAACAACCGTAATTTATTTATGAATTGAAAAAAATGACTGAGAAACGTATGTGTTTTGAAAATGTTGTTCAATAAATTTTAAAAATTGAAAATTTTTTGTAATTATTTGGTGGGGGCTGGAGTTACCAAACTAACAAAGGCAGTCAAAAACCCAGATGGGTTCAATTTTCCTAAAATTGTACACCTAGGAAGGGTGCTTTAAATATAAAAAATATATAAACACTCAAAAAAACAATTTAAAAAAAAAATGAGTAAATTGAAGAAAAAACTCGTGATTACCTCACAATTTCAATTCAAGGTAATTCCGTTATTTTTTTAATCACGAATTAATGGAAAAAAAATGATTTCAGTTAAATAGATTTTTAGATTCATTTTATTAATGAATTTTGCATTTTTTGGTTGCCAAAGCTTTAAAAGAAAGAAAGAAAGAATTTATTTCTCCAAAGTTATAATAAAACATCAAAATAGATACAGCATCAAAATAATTAATTCGGAGAGGATAGACAAAAGGCACATTGAGCGCCCACTTATAGTCTACCCGGTTTACATCAACAATTCAGGTTATTTAAACAAAATAATGATAAAAATAAAATATATTTTTGATTTGTTGATATTTTCATTAAAAAGGCGATATTTCGGATATAAAAAAACTATTGTATTGGGGGGCAGTCCTTCTATTGAAGCACTGTCACCGTTGTTAGAGGATATTTATAATTGTGGGAAAAAAAACAACAAAAAACAAAACAAAAAAAACAAAAAAAAACAAAAAAAAACAGAAAAAAAAACAAAAACAAAAACAGAAACAAAAAAACAGAAAAAAAACAGCGATATCTCGAAAACTACAAGGAATTGGAGGCTCATATTTTTAGGGTATATTCGCTGCTCATATATGGTTGTCGTGTAGCATTTAACCACTGCATTGAAAAAAAGGGGAACGTTAATTAAAAATATATTTAGTTAGATCGCAATTACCCAGAATAAAGCTATCCCTAAAATTGTGGATAAAAATTATTACCTCATTTTTAGTCATCTTTTCAATATTTTGGGGCAGTAAATTATTCTCGTTGAGCAAATTAAGTAATTTCGAACCTCGATTAGTCAGTGAATTTGCTTTAGTGTTATTCTTACAACAATGGGTAACAAATGAAGTATATTTGGATTTCCTTGTGTTGTAGCTGTAACGTTTCAAAGAAAACATTGTATTCAAAAAAAGAGTAGAATGTTTTTGATTCAAAGAACGAATGCAAAACTTTAACAGATCATAGATGTATAGCTCATGAACCGTTAAAATCTTATTGACTATCAGAGTTTCCGTTATGCTATCATATTTATTTTTGAAATAAATCATTCGAACAATTTTCCGTTGAAGTATTAATATTTGGTTTAAATTTGAAAAACTGGTTCCACCATAGACTAGTATGCCGTACTGTATTACAGGCTTAATATTCGACTGATAATACTTTAATAAAATGGACTTTGGAACATAATGACGCATCTTAGAAATAACACCGCAGTGCCTACCCAATTTTGTTTTAATTTTTTGAATATGATCTCTTTTTGAATTTAATCTCTAACCAACTTCTTTTTAACCCGCCCTCGATGTTTTAGACTGATAATTTTGATAGCAGTTTATTAATTAATGGTCACGCCTGTAGTTTAAGGTACTGACACATTTAAAACAATCATTTTCACCGTTGAAATATTTGCGAGTAGCATCGAGAAGATGCCACTATCGCTCGTTTTTATTAATCATTCACCTTTGCCAGTTTCTGCTCTTAATTCTGTCTCATGTGGATGCAGACGGTCACTTATTTGTACTTTTGATTTTTTTGTTTTTGCTGAAATGATGACAAGCATAGAAACTTTATCTGCACAGCTTTTGAACTTAGATACTATACTTAAAACAATTCATCAAGTGTTGAACCAGGCAAAACGTGACCTTCCTGAATCATATCAATCTTGGGTGAAATTCAATCCCAGATAAGCTTTGAAAACTTCCATTAATTTTATCCTAACAGCCTTGACACTTCCAGCTTCATCCAATGCATACATCGATCGCCACCACGCAATGTTTACTCGTATAGCGCAGTTGCGCTCGCAATGGATTACACGTGGGTTTGCGGGTTTGCTTAATGTGGGTTTGCTTAACTACCTTCATTGTTGGCCTTGCCCATTTGCGACTGCTCCTATTGTTTCCACTTCATTTGAAACTTGTAGACTCAAATTACTACCCACGTTTTTCTGTATTGGACATTGAGCTCCACCGTAACACCTAACATCCATCGAGTTCATCACAAACAGTTGAAACAAAACAAAAAATCACGCAAAGAACACGCTTGATATGAAAGAGTTTCTTAGCTTTTTCATGCTTTTTTTTCGAGTGGAAAATTAGTCCGTTTTCACGAATACAAAAATTGATGAACTCAGGACTGTGATTTGAAGGATATACAATTTGTAGATTTAATCAATTTAATTGAAAGACTTTCTCAGTTTTTTTTTAATTTTGAGCTTATAGCAAAATCAGCCAACGGTCTTTCAATATCTTTCAATCAAATGGTCTCTTCATGTACTTTTTTTCGTTGTTTATTATGACAATTATTTCACTACGGCAAGGTCAAAAACTGTCATTAAAAGGATAGTTTCGAGCTCGTTTTCTTCTTAAGTTTTTAATAATAATTTTTTTGTGAGTTTGGCATTGTCTAGAAAAACAAGTCCAAAAATAACAAGACTGCCCGTATCAGGGCGAAGCCCTGAATGTTCCGACTGCTTTTTAAGATTTATGGAGCAAAAATAACTTTAAAAAATTAATTGAAATAAAATAAAATGAATATATATTTTTTTTAATTTGAATTTTTTAAATGAAAATCATCCACCCGCACGCCATGTAAAATACAAAAGGATAGATTTCGTTCCTTGAAACAAACCAATTATGGCAAATAAGCTTCTTTCAACCAATTTGGAACGATTTCTAAGACGGATTAAATCTCCGCTTACGCGTTAATAGCGCGAATTATATCGCGCGTTAATTGTCCCAAATTGGTCAAAATGGCCAAAATAGCAATCTTTAAACCCTCATAACTTTACGAAAAATGATCACAGGTGAAATATCTTTTCAAATTTAAGCGCAGGACAACAATGGCTTTCGAATGATATAAAAAAATTCCGTCAAAAATGGCTAGTTAAAAAGTAGAAATTTGTCTGAAGAAAAAAAACCCCACCCCGAGCACAAATATTCCCTTACTTTCGTATCGAAAGTCGGAACAATAAAAACACCGATAATAATTTTCGCTGGTTAGTGAATTCTTTTCGAAGCAGATGAAGTAATTTGATTGAATTATTGAACGATCCACTTCAAGTTTCTTTGCCAAAAAAACTTAAGTAAGAAGCAACTTTAGACTAAAAAACTAAAATGTCAAATAGATGGAAGTGTTGCTTCCTTGTCATGATGCTAAGCTTCTTTTAGTTGTTAAAATTGCTTCAAACGACACAGCACAGTTGTAAGTTTTGTTTCAAGGACTCATTGTCAATAAATGTCCAATTCAAACCGGAATTGAGTGGTTCTCATATCTTGAAGCATGGGTTCTTTTCTTTAAACCTCTTTCATTCAAACAAAAAGCTTTTGATCAAAAAAAAATCTGCCATGGGAAACACTATCACAATTTTCTATGAATATATGGACAGAAAACTTAAAATTAAATTTAAGCATTTCAAAACCCAGGCAGTTATTATAAAAAACACATTTGGCCTTTTTGAAAAATATAAAAAAAAACACGGATAAAATTATTTGATTAGATATCTCATTCGGCAGCTAACTTTATTCGGTAAAACAAAAGATTAAACCTTTGAACTACATAATCATATTATCATCTGCATATTCAAATATTCTTATTATCATTTTTGGAGGGCATAAAGTTTTTAAATAAAACCTGTTGAGATATTATTGTAAGCTTTAAACTAATACTTCAAGAAGCTTTCATAATGGTACTAAAAGACGTTGAATGTTCATTTTGCTAATATTATATTTCACAGATTCGTCTAGAGCCAAATGCTTGAGAATCTTTCCACTAACTGGAGCCATTTTGAATCCGTGACCCGAAAAAGCTGCTCCGGCAACAATGTTTTTGTAACCAGGAAGTTTATCCAGAACAAAATGAGCATCAGGTGACATCTAAAGTACAAAATTCCGACAAGTTAGTTCACTTAAGTTGGGAAATTGAGCAAACTTTTTCAAATGCGTTTTTTTTATCAAAGGGTACTTTTTTTATAAGTGTTTCTTTCTTGGTGGAAAGAACAAAAAATGTAATTTCTTAGTACTTTTTGCCAGCTTTTCACATATACACATTGCACACTTAAAACTGAATGTTTTTATCCTGGTTCCAGAAAATTCTGTTTCAGAATATGTTAATTGACATATGATTGATAATTTTTGTAATAGTTTGTCATTATCCTATTTTATTATGAAAATATGAAAACAAGTTTCTCGATTTTCTAGTGGTGTAAAACTATAGTGGTGTAAAACTCGGCAGATCAAGAGACAAGCGAGGGACCAGAGTTTTGCAAAAGTGTTCTGAATAAAAAACCACCTCAAGCATATTTATTCTTCAATTTCTTCGAAAGTCGTCGGAACAAAAAACGAAGAACACAGATTTTACCAGACCAAAACTCTGGATAATACGATTGCCTTTAAATTTAATAGTAAAGTTAGTAAGTGTGGTTTCTGCTGTTCGCAGAGGATCTATGACAGGCTATCCAACCTGTCTAAGCATAGTCAGTTTCTCTTATTTTCCGACACATTCTAATTCGGGTTATTTTTTTAGCGAAACACTTTTATTGGGACTCTAGACCGTTTTTCTTGCGTCTAGAATTTTCACGTGGTACTACTGCTGCAGCCAATTTTTTTTTTGAAGTACTACTATTTTTTGAAGTAACTTTTTACGGAGTAAGTTAAGTTTTGACCTCACATGTCATTTTAAGTGCCATGTTTCCCATCTAATAAGATTTATTGTCTCGAAGTTACGCTTGGGGCGTTTCACCTCAGTTAGATATCATTGAATCATCTGCTATTACTGTTTGAGCTTCGTCAAAAAAAAGTATATCATTCACGAAAATTACTAATTATCAAATTACCGAATTCAACAAAACTGGTTACACGTGAAACAACCTTTTGTTTTTGAACTCAAGCCGTAAGTTCAAACTCCAAAAAAAAGTTCATTTTGGAGGTTGTAACGTAAGCTTTGGCCAAACCTGATGTATAAGAGTTGAAAATTGTATGAGAAAAAAGTCATTAGCACAAGATACTCAAAAAATGGTGCAACACGGAGCTGAACACCCTTATACAAAAAAAATTCGTTCACACTGGGTACTAAAATAAGAGCCAGCCATCGCCGCTAAGCATGCCCAGCTGCGACCTTAAGACGAGGGTTAATATTTGTAAGAAAAATTTGTGAGAAATATTTCTCACACATATTAAACCTAGGTTGGGGGTCGCAGTTGGGCATGCTTATTTTAGTACACGTACCCTCCTACTATCTGTTGGCGAATTAGCAACACGTAGGCGCGACTGCGATTGATGTTTACTTTTTCAACAAACGGCTATTAATGAGCATTGAAGTTTTTTAAATTTGTTTTAGAAACGTGTATTCTGTTTTTTCATAAAGGGTGGGGTTCGGAAGCCCCTTTTCCTCAGGGATTCTTTATATTTTTTTTAAACAATTTTTGACATGTTTGAGGGCATTTTTGATCTGTTTTTTTTTTGAAATTTTTGTCAAAATAAGGTCTGTATGAGAAAATCCCAGATCCGCCCTTGTATATATTATAGGATTTATAGCATGAATTTATTAAACTTCGTATGTGAAATGTATAAAATAAATTATTTCATGGGGAACAAAACATAAAACGTATCTTGTCAACTTCGAAAGTAAAACAAAGACTTGAGGCTTGACCAATAACCGTTTCAAATTTTATATAACTCAATAACTATAGACACATATTTAACAAAAATTTAGTGTCAAGTCAATGCCTTGAAATGCAATACCTTAAATTTTACCAAGCTGATATAAAAAAAGAAAATCACTGCTTCTGGAAAGTCGTAAAATGTTTTAAAGACGTCTCATGGCAATTTGACTACTTTTGAGGGCGAATCGCAATTAATAAATTCAAGAAGTGATATCGTTGACGGGTGCGTTTGTGTCCTTAGCCGAACACATTTACCTGTGTAACCTCATAATTTCGAACTCTTATTTATGTCCGTATTAAAACCGTAAAATATCAAAAACCGTAATTGAGCAGTAGAGCAGTAGTTACCGTATACCGACAATGGTCAATAAATTCTGGTTCTGGGTTCAAGAATGGGAACTTCCTTTTTACCGCTTCTTTCAGACAGTCCATATCTTGCTTAACCGACTCATTTTTCTCTTGGTCTGTCCTCTTGCTGTCTTCTGGGTTTTCTATTTCTGGCCCTTCGTGCAGCAGAAACTGAAAAGTAAATGAAAAAAAAACTTTTTCTTCCAGGAGTCGTTTCTTAAGAAAATTTTTAAAATGATCTTCGCCGACGTTGATCGGAAATAAGCGGGAATGAAATAAGCGGAAATGAAATAAGCGGAAATGAAACAAGACTGCTCGTATCAGGGCTAAGCCCTGAATGTTCCGACTGCCTTTTAAGGTTTATGGAGCAGTAATAACATTAAGAAATTAAATGAAATAAAATAAAATGAAATTTTTTTTTCTAAAATTTGAAACTTTTTATGAAAATCATCCCCCCATACGCCATATAAGTACAAAAAGATAGATTTCGTTACTTGTAACAAACCAATTATGGCAAATTAGCTTCGCTCAACCAATTTGGAACGATTTAAAAGACGGATTAAATCTCCGCTTACGCGGTAATATCGCGAATTATATCGCGCGTTAATTGTCCCAAATTGGTCAAAATGGCCAAAATGGCAATCTCTAAACCCTTATAACTTTACGAAAAATGATCACAGGTGAAATATCTTTTCAAATTTGAGCTCAGGACAACAATACCTTTGGAATGATATAAAAAAATTCCGTCAAAAATGGCTAGTTAAAAAGTCGAAATTTGTCTGAAGAAAAAAAAAACCCACCCCGAGCACAAATATTCCGTTACTTTCTTATCGAAAGTCGGAACAATAAGCGGAAATGAAATAAGCGGAAATGAAATAAGCGGAAATGAACTATGACGGGGAGGTTTTCGTGAGCAATTACTACAAGCTTTTAAGTGGTTCAAACTTAGGAACATTTAGTAACCCTGTCGGTCGTAACATGAGTTAGGGAGGGATAACATTCAACGAAAAATCTTCAGTGTCAAGAAAAACTGGTCTGATTGTTCTTCCGTTTCTCAAGTTAATTTATCACATCTGCTGTGTCATCTATTAGGTCGAATCTTCTTACAAGATGATGTAGTTTTTTCTGGATGCAGCCGGAAACTTTTCACAGTATCGATTTAACTCAGCTAGAACTCTACTGGGAAGTTATCGGAGCAGAAGCTGTTTGAGACAATCTTGCGTAACAGTCGAGATATATTGTAATTGCATACCTTCACGTATCCCTTGTGTTCCATTTCGGGAATGAGATACATGTTTGTATCATAGTGGAATTGAGTAGTTGGCATTTTCATAGAATCATCTGTCTCTTTCCAGTAACAGATTGTGATCTTTGTTATCTGAAAAAGAGTTAAAAGAGATATCATTTTGAGAAAAAAGATGATATGATCTCGTGTATGCAAGCGCAAGCAATGACATTGAGGAAATTTTCTTGTTGGTCAATCAAAATGCAATGATCGTGTAATTTATTGGGATAAACTCACTACCAACTTGCCAGATGCATATGGTACAAAATCAAGTAAAATCACTTATGTTGCAGGAAATTTATTAAAGATCAAAAGCCAACGAAAATAGTTGAATATGAGAAAAAAACTTTGGGAGAAAAAATAAGTCGAACTTCTTACCTTTACATCCAGTTTCACACCCAGAGGTTGAAGAAGCTGATTTATCCAAGTCCCGGCACATATAATCAGCTTCCTTCCTTCAAATGACTCTTTCTTTGTCTTAACTGTTACTACTCCATTTTCACTGTTCTCAGCAATCGAAACAACTTGATCACCATCTTTCAAAACTCCGCCACGGGCAATGAATTGTTCCTAAAATTTCGCGATAGTTATTTTGAGTAGAAATCAGTTAGGACAGCAGAAATATTCTCTAATTTACAACATTTAAATTGCGACAGTTAAGGTTTGCGAGATAACGAGGTTCTGGTTTTCATTGCCTCTTTCGTGAATTTTGTTTTATTAGATATACCTTTCTTGTTCTTGTATCTACATATTTTTTTTGTTTCAACCACGTTAGTTTAAAGACCGAAATGAACTATGGATAAGCTGGTGTTTTCTTTCGCCCAATTTTAGATACATCAAGAAAACCTTACATTGACAAATGTCGCATCTTGTTGAAACCCTATAGCCTGGGAGTGTGAGTCCTAAAATTTTTGAAAATTGGCCTCGACAAATCTTGGACAAGAAAAATTGGTGAAAAACTTGTGCTTTACGCTCAATGACTCAAAACTTATATGAAACGATGATAATGATTTGTATGAAAACTCTATTTTTTTCTTCTGTAATTTAAGTATTAATTTAGATAATATACCGTTTCAATAAACTAATTTCATTCCTTACACTCGCCAAAATTACCACGAAAATTATTTATCTTTAATTCAACTCTCGAAGAGAGTAGTAATATATATGCTCGGTTTGATTTTTTTCACACAAAATTTCAAAAAATTGGAGCCCTCGGGGAACGATCCATTGATCGTTTTGCTCTCCTAAGGGCGGCATTGTCAACTGTACTTTCCTGATTTTACGGTTGCTGTGAAATTAGTCTAACCAAACTATTTGACGGTGAAATTTTAAAATTTACTACGCGTGGCCAACTATCCCGCACGCTATTTGGTCTTATTATTTCCAGGCACGACTAATATTTTAACACTTACCATTTGATATTATCGGCCCAAACTTTATATTTTGTCAGCATTTTAAGACAAAAGCTATTTAAGACCAGTTATTGGCAGTAGGAATTTTAAGGGTTTTGCCTTGATACGAACTTTATAGTTAGTTATGCAATCGTAATACGAGGAAACAGTTTGAGATATCACGCAAGTGTAAACAGATCTGGTGTTATTGTTCACATTGTTCTCAAATACAGCTCACCGAGCGCCCATGCTTTTTAATCAGTTTTATAGGATTTCCTAGACAAAAATATTCCATTAAAATCCGTTACAAAATTATAATTAGGACATCAAAATTGATTATATTGCCACAATAATCCATGATTGCCAATTTTGATTCAGAATTTTTGATACTGAAATTATTCATAACTGATTATTATTGATTTTTTTTGAAAATTTAAAATCCAGTATAATCTATCAATTGATTATATTATTTTTTAAAGTTCTAAACGTGGTAATGTTTTGCAGAAAATCCGCAGGAAACTGTTCTATGTCTCAACAAAAAACAAATGCGATAAAACTCCCTTCAAATCACCCAACGCCCATCCTCACCGCCAACCTCTACATTCAGCTATGACCCTGCCTCAACCCTTCTCCTGTGTTGTGCAAAAAAAGGGGGAGAGGGTTAAAATTTTTTGCGGGCGGGGGCTGATAAAAAAAATGTGAAAAAAAACTTGAAAAAAGAGAGAAATTATAGAAAGTAGAAAAATCTATTGTGAAATGGATAAAAGTTATGAAACCTAATAAGTAGCTGCAACTAAACTTAACTGCAAATGAGACAACGGCTCTTTTTCCTTTTCCCCCCACCTCACATAAGCGTCAATTTTACGGTGTAACGAGGGGTTTTACAAGGTTAATTATGAAGACCAAAAATGTTTGTGATGGCCTAATTAGCTCGCATGCCAATTTTTGTAACTTTCGGATAAAGTGAAAAGGAAAAAGAGCCGAGACAACTAATAATTAATTTTGTAAGTTTCATTCAAAAACTCTCAACAAAAATCCATAATCATCGATTATAGCTGATTATAAATTTTGGGATTATCCATTTTTCATGGATTAAAACCTATCATAATGTAATTTCATAGATACTGACTATAAAATGACAAAAAAATGATTCATTGTTCATGTTCGCTCGGGGCGTCTGAGCTTTCAACTATCCAAAGACTATCTATCACTAACTATACTACAAAAAAAATTAAAAAAAGTGCCCGAGATTTTCTGGTGTTTGTGGATCTATATAATGGGTGAAGCGTTCATTGAAATAATGACAAGACGCGTCACTACATTGATCGAATACATGCCTAACACTAGTATATTGAAACCTACCACAGTAACTCTCAAACATCTATCAGCATACACAGCCCCCATTGAAGCTTCTTCCAGAACCCACTCGATCTCAGATCCGAACCTTATCATAGGATACTTGGCAGTGGCCTCCTCATTAGTCAGCAGAGTGTGGGGAACCTGGTTGTCTCTCAGGTTCTCCAGACAGGCTTCAGGTGAATGCCCTTTGGCGAAGAGAGAAGTCCCACCAGTCAAACTGAATTTAGAAAAAAAAATGACTGCAAAATGAGTGTTAAATTTGCTCAGAAATTTTCGACGACAGAATATGGCACAGAGATTGAAATAAATAACCCTTTCTGTTTAGACATTTTTGTGGCACCTAATTTGGCGTAGATCATACCCTAATACAAGGTTCTTTCGCACACTCGCCGCGGCTAGATTTTTACAGTTTTTTTTTCGAATAATTATGATTATTAATTTGACAACAAGTACCACCTAACCGGTTCGAAATTTTTTGTTTGTCATTAAAATTATAAGCAAAAAAGCTCGTATTATGGAGCATTTTATTAAAAGATGGGCTTGATTAGCCCGTTGTTCTAATATTTTCAGCTCTTTTTGAAGACAAAGCTTGGCTCATTCTTCCACTTAAAAAATCGGGCTCATTCATACCAAAAAAGTGGGGCCAAATATTGTGAAAAAATCGACAAAAATAGGCTCATTAACCTCTTGGGCTCATGTAGAAAAAAATGGGTTCATTCGTTTCGTTGTTCTGAAACTTGGGCTCATTCGTCGTTTTTTTTTCTTGAATTAGAGCTCATTCAGCAGGGTAGCATTTACACAATTATAGAAAAAATTCAAATCGAGCAACTTTATTTCTTTTACCCAACTAAATAAAATGTGACGATATTATTGGTAAATACTGTTTTTTGCTATTTTATCTTCAGGGGCGATCGAAGTTAGCAAGGTTATTTTTGATTATTCATGAAATTATATCAGAATTAGTTTTTTTAATGTTGTTGTGATTCATTTTATTTTCATTAATTACTTTAAAGCATCTTAACTGGTTAATCTTAATTTGACCTTGTTATCTTCATTTCTCCGGCGGAGAGAATGACTGTTCACTTTTTAATGTTTTAACTTAGAGATTAATTCACTTTTTAAACAGATCTTATTTGTAACTAAGTAGAATTAACCGTAACAAAGGAACATTTTAACATGGCGCAGTCAAACAGCAACGAATCAAACGTGAGAGGTATACCTTCATTTTGGCAGAACCACACAGTGGACCCACCAATCCCTTGGGAAGAGTGGAGCGATCTATTCCAGCTAGCAATTATCGCGAAAGAGAACATCGATATCGAAAACCTTTTAAATCCAACGGAACGATATCATCCACCTCCCCCAACATTGGAAAATCCGCCGGAAAATGAATCCGACGCACAAAAAACATCACGCATTGAGAGGAATATTCGAGAACAAAAGAGATTCGATGATGAAGAAATGACCTCGATAAAGTCGGAAACCAAGAAATTCAACGGCATGAGACTGGAAGAGGCGGACAAAAAATTAAGATCCATACTTTATTTAGCCCTCGGAAACGAAGGAAAGAAAATATTCGGCCAAAAGTTCACGAGAGTCAAAGTTCTACAAATTTCCTTCAAAGAATTTTGGGAAAACTTATCCATAGCTTTTGTGAGAAAAACAAACATAACCTTCGAAAGACACAAACTCTTAAACAGAAAACAGAGGGACAGAGAATCATTGGAACAATTCTGGGGGGCACTGGCAGAAATGGCTAAACGATGTAACATTCCCACAGGAGAAGACGAATGGATTAGAGATATTTTTATTAATAACATGAAGAATTCAGATATCCAACGGAAACTTCTCACGGAAACTTTACCGCCCCTAGAAGCCCTAAACGTAGCCCTGATTGACGAAAAAGGAATTACAAACCACATCAAGATGACGAGTACTTTTAAATCCAGCGGATATTCTTCCAACAAATCTTTTAATCATTTCAATGTAAAAAGAGAACCCACCCTAAACATCGAAAGAAACAACACATGTATGAAATGCGGCGGAAACTTTACAAAAGGACATCTAGCGGTTTGCCCTGCTAAAGATACAACATGTTCGACATGTAAATATCGAGGACATTTTACTAGACTCTGTAAATCACGCCGTAAAAATGTAAATATTGTGGATAGTCAAATTGTAAATAATACAGATCACCATTATCCTTCGGAACAATCAGATGTACATATCGACCAAGCTAATAGAGAATGCTGCGGAGTAATCAACGCATGGTCTGAATCTGGACAAAGCGATAATGACGACTACTCTGTATTAAACGTAACAACTATCTACGACGGTGAAGGAAAGGAACTAAAGAAACTACTAAATATCGGCTTAGGAAACGAAAACCAAGTAATTCTCAACATACAGGTGGATTCAGCAAGCCCTGTAAGCTTCCTCAAACAGAATGTGTTACACGAGTTGAAACTAAGAGACCCCTACGTGAAAATATATCCAGTGGATAAGGCTACTAAGGAACTTTATTGCGGATTTACGAACAATGCAATAAATATCACTGGAAAAGTAATCGTCCCAATTTTCTCAAATGGTTGGTCCAACAAAGAATGCCACTTCTTCCTAACTCAAGGTCATGAAAGAAACATCTTAGGAAACGACAACTTGCCAAAAGTCGGAATCGAAATTTCACAAAAACAATACACAACTTCCAACAACAAGAGAACTTGTAAGTCTATCAATTCAGTTACTTCACTTGACTTAGATAACGAAATAGAAATGGTTGGAAAAACTTTCAAACAACTATTCCTTCGGATTGGAAAAATAAAAAATCAAACAAAAATAACACACTTTCATGAACCATTAAAGCCAATTCAACTAAAAGGCAGGAGGGTCCCTTTACATTTACTGGGTTCAGTAAAAACAGAACTATACAGACTTAAATCCGAAGGACACATCAAAAATTTAGAAAACTGTGATGAGGACAGATTTATCAGCCCAATAGTTATTACTTGTAAAAAAGACAAATCGATAAAGTTAGCCCTAGATTCAAAATTTATCAACAAACAAATCTACAAGAACAAATACCAGATGCCTAATATACACGAATTAGTTGATAACGTAGCGGCTCAAATTTCAAACAATTCCGCCGGAGAAGTATGGTTTACAAATCTAGACCTAAAGAACGCTTATAGTCAACTCGCGCTGGACAATTTTACTAGCAGCCAATGCAATTTTAGTCTAGTCGGCGGAGATATAACAGGCACTTACCAATTTTTAACGGGTTTTTACGGACTGGGCGATATGCCAAACGAGTTTCAGAGAGTCATGGACTCAACTTTGGGAAACATTCCTTTTACAAATTGTTATCTCGACGACATATTAGTCGCTTCCAAAGGAAGTTTTAACGATCACAAGAAAATCGTGTATAAAATTTTATCAACGTTAGATTCTTACAATTTCGCAGTTAAATGGTCGAAGTGCAAATTCTTTCAAAAAGAAATTGAATGGCTCGGTTTTAAAATATCGAAATATGGAATCGCCCCACTATTCGATAAAACCAAAGCAATCAAAGATATTCCAATCCCAAAGAATCTAAAAGAATTAAGATCATTCTTCGGGTCAACTAATCAGTACATTAAATTTGTACCAAACCTAGCATCCCTCGGAAGCCCACTTAGACCTCTGTTAAACAAGAAATCAATTTTCCGCTGGAACGAAGATCACTCAAAAGCTTTTGTCAAGATTAAATCTGAGATAGTAAATCTTACTGAAAACACTCATTTCGACGTAAAAAAACCCACGAGAGTAAAAACAGATGCTTCACATAATGGGTTAGGTGCATCCCTTGAACAACTTCATGAGAAGGTTTGGAAAACAGTTTCATTTGCTTCAAGATTTTTAAATCCGCATGAATCCAAATATTCAACAAACGAATTAGAGCTATTAGGAGTTGTATGGGCGGTGGAACATTACAAAAATTATCTCTACGGCTCCGAATTCGAAATCATCACCGATCACAAAGCTCTCCTTTCCGCCTTGTCTCCAAACCACGGAAACAAAACATACCATAGCCGGTTGACAAGATGGGTAGATCGTCTTCTACCATTTAATTTTACTATCAAACACTTAGCCGGAAAAGATATGGGTTTTACAGACTTAATTTCAAGAACTCCTTCGGATAAAGCAATTCCCCCATCACATTATGACGAAGAATTTGTAGTTGCCACTACCAAAAAAATATATTATGCACTTAATCCTTTGGATACTGAAAATTCATTACGTAATTCAATTAATTCGATTTCGGAAAATTCTCACTACACGAAATTACGAAATCACGTAATAATTACAGCATTGAATTTCATCAACTCTTCCATTTCAATCTGCAATCAAAAACATTATAGAACAGAATTTTGCAACTCTAAATGTATTCCTTCGGATTTCTCAAACACTGATTTTACTAAAATTTCTCTATCAAATTCAGCCTTTATCTATTTTTTAATTCTTAACAGTAGCTTAATTAGTAATCCTTCGGATATTAAACTTATAAATTGTGTAAATATGTCAAATAACCAAATTGTAGTTAATCCTTCCACTTCCGGGATTCAGGTCTCTATCGATTTCCAAATTCCTTCAGAACACAAGAAGCTAGTAACTAAATTCCGTGAAAACCTCAAATTACCTGAAAGACCTTTGGATCTAAACACATTATTCAATGCAAAATTGGTCGCTTTATTAACGGAGGATGATGAAATGTTAAACCCGATTGTGAAAGCTCTACAGAATAAAGTAGATAACATTAATGCAAATTCCCGTTACTTACACCAATTTACAAAAGACCTTCACGAATCCGACGGATTATTATATATGGATGGAAAATTGGTTATTCCGTTTACACTTAGAAACGCTGTCTTAAAAACCTTACATGAATCTCATCCTGGCCAATTCGGCATGAAGTATTTAGCACAATATATTTGGTGGCCACACATATATCGACAAATTTACTTCCATGGGATCAATTGCACACAATGCACTCAAACTGGTAAGAATATAAAAAGCATCATACCAACTACACAAATTAGCGAACTTCCCCCCTTATTCGAACCTAATGAGGAAATAAATCTTGATTTCGCTGGCCCACTAGATAACAACTGGGGAAACAATAAATACATCTTATTGTGTATAGATCGTTTTTCAAAATTCCCTTCAGCTAAAATTACATCTTCAACGTCATCAAACACAGTAATCGAATTCCTTCAAGATTATTTTTATCTCCATGGGATTCCAAAATCTATTCGGGTCGACCACGCATCCTGCTTTACTAGTCAGGATTTTAAATTATTTTGCAATTCTCTTAATATTAAAATAATATTTTGTACAGTTGGGGATCATCGTTCTAACGGTCTTGTAGAAAAACTTGTACATACTGTAAAAATTAAATTATTAGCAATGTCACTGGATCACCAAAAACCTACATTACAAACCGCCATTTCGAAAATCATTTGGAATCTACGATCTTCCTTCCAATCTAAAATTAAATGCTCACCGTTCGAAATACACTTTAATAGAAAACCGAACACGATTTGGAAGCAATTGGCATCTAATAATTTATCCGGTGGAATTTTAGACAAAGGGAAGTTGATCTTAAGCAGAGAAAGGGCCCTCGACTGGAACGCTGACGATCGGATAGAGGACGGATATATAGACTCCCTCATACCGAAAAAGAACCAGTCACCATTGGAGAAAGGCTATGATTCAGATCTCCCTACTTCTTCAAAACCTTCGTCATCCCGAGTGCCCTTAAACAGCCCGTTTAAAGGTAAACTACTACGGAAAACTAACGGAAGTATAAACGGAAATCCATTCTATAAACAACTAGGACAGAAAATAATAAACTCAACAAAATCCACGGTTGAATTATCCGACGGAAAAATTATTAGAAAGTCGGACATCGCCATCCCAAAGTCTAAATCCTCTACAATTCGTTCATTCAAAGGAAATATCTCGTTCCCTTTCTTCTCTAACTGTGATTTACAAGTAGGTCCAAGAAAGTCTTACAATCCGAAGACACAACAGACGCGGAAACCAGACATTAGGACAGGAAGACACACTGAGTCATTCACCCCGGTCACCACCAGAGCTAGAGGAACGAACCAGCCCCCAAAATCCAACAAATCAAAGAAGAACAGAAACAAAGCCTCGACGTCGAATACTGGATATCTCGCAGGTGACGAATCAATGTTCATTCCGTCGGATACGTCAGACATTAGCGATTGGGAATGGATTGCGGGAGGTTTTCCATGTAGAGAAATGATAAGAAAGCGCTTCATTTCGGATAACGACACTTCTATCAATAAGCCTACCTCAATTTTAGAACCTAAAACATATCAATCTAATATAACACCTGAGATTTTAGACGAACAACCTCAACCATCAGGCACAGCGGAATGCCCAATCAGTATAAAACCAGCACCCCAAACTACCTCACAACCATTGGACAAACCTTCTACCACGACAACGGAGACACCAAACATTCCTTCGGATTTGACAATACCATCAGTCGGAGAAAAACCGGTGGATTTCCCAGTTTTCGAGATAGAAGACTCTTCCGATGAAATTGGAACCAGCGAGGACAGACAACCTAAGGAAACCACTACCACCGGTAACGAACTTATTTTAAGACGTTCAAGTCGAAATGTTGGTCCCCCAAAATTCTATGGTAAGCGATATTACATAGATATTATAGATGAGTTAGAAAACCAACCGGGCTCTGCTACCAACCCTATACCTCTGGACGATGAAGAAAACTTGAACTACCCCCCACAAACATTCAGCGAGAATCCCTTGGATATTCAATCACACGCCTACAACACACTACCGGATGACAGTTCAGCTGATCTAGCATTTACCCAATCTCCTGACCAATCTTCCACCACTTCTACCGACGATTCACTGAGGGAGGCCGTGAACTGCTTTGAAAATTACATAGATTTAGATAGCGAAATTTTCAACGCCGAGCTTGAGAAATTCATGGAAGGGGACAGTTAAACCCAATTCAAACTTTAAAAAACTCACACGTAGCCATTTATAATCTGTATTAGTATTTTCCTAGCACAATTATAAACTTACTTAGCCTTAATTACGGATTTACAATCCGCCGGATTTATGATTCTCTTAACCTCTGAAAACTCAGCCATTCCTTCGGAGCACTGAAATTACGCTTGCTATACCGTGCAGTATTTTGATTTTGTTGGACTTCTCGAGAGGGAGAAAAAGGGTTAGTTAACATGCTAGTTATCAAGGCGCTTAGTATTTCTAATTTTTTTTCCTACTAAGGGGAATGTTGTGATTCATTTTATTTTCATTAATTACTTTAAAGCATCTTAACTGGTTAATCTTAATTTGACCTTGTTATCTTCATTCTCTCCGGCGGAGAGAATGACTGTTCACTTTTTAATGTTTTAACTTAGAGATTAATTCACTTTTTAAACAGATCTTATTTGTAACTAAGTAGAATTAACCGTAACAAAGGAACATTTTAACAAATGTACCAAACTGTTATATTTGTTTTTTGGTAGAGATAAAAAGCCCAGTCAAACTAAAACGATTTAAAAGACGAGAACAAGATAAAACACGAGATTTTGCCTCTGACAACTTCGAAATGAATATACAATCCAAATATGACATTGGACTGTTATACCGGTTGATGCCCCGGATGATATGTTGTTGATTTTGTTGATCTCTTAAATTGGTGCTGCATCAAATTTTAACTGAGTTGAAGTTTGATTGCACTAAAAAGAAAACATATCTACTATCACTAGTGGATTTAGGGGGGACGTTCTTCTTCCCCCTTTGGGATTCGACTCCCAGCCGACCTAACGGGTCCCCCTTTGTACTATTTTGAGATATCCTTTTTTGTCTGAGTGACTCTAAAGTTTTTCTAAGGGCGCCTTGGAGCCAATATATACTAATTTTGAGAGGGGAGCGCGCGCCGAAAAAAAAGGTCTTTTTAGAGCTATGGGAGAGCTCGGAAAATTATTTTGGTCGAACTATAAAAAAAGTCCGACAAAGTTTTCGAAATTTTTTTGAAAATCGTCTCCCCCCTCGAGAAAATCCTAGATCTGCCCCTGTTTACTATTTTACCTAATACTCCCCTCTTCCTCGAAAACTCCCTCTAAGGATGGGAAAGAACAACAATGGCGTAGGATAGGGAGGATCTAGGATTTTTTCGAGGGACAGATTTTCAAAAAATTTTGTGGCCTTTTTTTAGGTCGACCAAAATTTTTGAGCTCTCCCAAAGCACTAAAAAGTACCTGCTTTGGCCTAGTTTTCTGTGCCGCAAATTTTGACCAAAAAATCGCATTTTTTTGGCGCGCTCCTCCCTCAAAATTAGTATATATTGGCGCCAAAGGCACTTTTTGAAAAATTTTAGGGTCCGTCACCAAAAATGGATATCTCAAAGTACAAAGGGGGGACCTTTTGGGTCGGCAGGGGGTCGAACCCCCTGAGGGGAAAAGAAAACGTGCGCCCATCCCCACTAAATCCGCCCCTGGCTATTTCTTCCTCTGCATATGTTGACTTCCTAGTAAATGACTCCCCTTTTACTAAAATTTCTTAATACACTGTTATGTTGATAAAGCCGCCCTGCTATTTTCTATTTTTTTTATCAGAACTCTCCAAAAGCCGTCCTCGTCTTTCAGCTGACATATATTTCTAGTAAATGTTTTGCCAGTAAACTTTAAGTCAGAAGTGTACGACGTTATAGTATTGAGCAAGGAACAAGTTGCAACTTTACGTACGAAAAGTAGAGTAAAACCTCTTAAGCTCTGCTTCAGCGTTTTCTTCGAAATAATCTCTGAAAATTTTCTATATATATGAAAAATGAAGAAAACTATCAGAACATTGAACGTCGAGATTGTTCAGTGATGGGGGCTACCTAAATAAAAGTAAACCAAATAATGTTCTGAGATGCACTCCAAATCAATATATAAAAAACTAACTTGAGTAGCGTCTCCCCACTGACTTGCTCCAGGTGTTCCCACTCCTCGTAAGCTTCCGGCATCCACTCTGCATACTCTGGCATCCTCTCATTCCCGTACTGGTGTCTGATCACTCGGCTGCCGCCGTGAGAACTGCCAAGCGAGTGACCGAAAGCAAACTACAACACAACCTTTGTGAGGCTTAATATAAAACCCGCAAGATTTGAAATTAGAAATCATTTTTGATATTATCAAACTTGACTTTCAATTCTAGCAGTTGCATGGTTCTTAACACCATAGAGCTTTCTAGCTGAAAATCAAAATGACCAATTAGAGTCGAGAATCGTTTCAGGGGAATTACATTTATACAAGTTTTCCTTAATTTCTCTGTCGGAAGATATTTGCGAAAAAAATCATATAGAACTGATAACTTCATTTGTTGAGTTATTTGGCTGTTATAACCAATTAAAACAGTCTGGCAAGCAATCCACTTCAAATTTCGAGAGTCATTTCGAATTACCAAGCGCGTAATGTGGTTTCTGCGATTCGCAGCCGATCTATGGTCACTTTTCGAATTGTTTTCACACATTTCATTCAGATATTAAGTTATGTTGAGCGAAACTCAATGCAGTTTGCTTTGCGTATGGAATTTTCGGATCTTCGTAACCAATTTTGAGAAGTGTGCGGCCAGTAAGTAGACTACAGCGTAAACAGTCAGTAAGTAGACAACATTGACAATACTCAAATCTGAAAAAGGATATCAAAAGTGATTTTGAATATTTATTCAAAATTGTTTTTTGTTCCGACTTTCGTGTTCAATATTTGTGCTCGGGGTGCGTTTTTTCTTCAGACAAACTTTGACTTTTCAACAGGCCAATTTTGACGGAAATTTTTTATATATCATTCGGAAGGTATTGATGTTCTGAGCTTAAATTTGAAAAGATATTTTACCTGTGATCATTTTTCGTATGGGGGTTTAAAGTTATCGGGGTTTAAAGATTGCCATTTTGGCCAATTTTGGATAATTAACGCGCGATACAATTCGCGATATCAACGCGTAAGCGGAGATTTAATCCGCCCTAGAAATCGTTCCAAAATGGTTGAAAGAAGCTTATTTGTCAAGTGATACGTTACTAGGAGCGAAATCTATCACTTTGTACTTTATATGGCGTGTGGGAGGATGATTTTTAACAAAAAATCTCAAATTTTGTTTTTTCTTTTGTTATATTGCGTTAATTTTTTTCATGTTATTTTTGCTTCTTAGACCTTAAAAGGCAGTCGGAACATTCAGGGCTTCGCCCTGATAGGAGCAGTGTTGTTACACTGGTTAATGAAAATTACGTTTTTTAAGCCAAAATTGCTCAAATTAAGTTGATGTTTGCGATAACATTATAAAAAGCTAACTTATTTAGAATTGTCCGTAAGTTAAATTGGTGCTTTTTATTTTGTAAAAGTTGTTTTAGATATAGAAATTAAAAGTTTTGTCTGCTAACTGTCCTGGCTGCTTACGCGGTTGTCTACTTATTGCTACGTAACCATTGGTCTATGGTTAGTGATTTTCCATATATGGAAAACTTATAACTAGCATTTTTCCATAAATCAAAAAAAAATTTTGAAGCAGTTTCTTCTCCAAACTTTTGAGTTGTGTTCCGTACCCGGTAACGCAAGCAACAAAGACCCTGGTTACTCAAAGCTAGATTCACTAAAAGCTTAACTGTCTTGCATGTACTATGCATTGGAAACGACCTGATAGATAAGTTACAAAAATAATATAAGGAAAGTAGCAAATTTCTAAAGTTTGGCAAATGTTTTCAGACATGCTATTTTCTTGATTTTGAAAGTTACAGTAGTCATATTTTCCCGAAGGAATACACGAACTCGCAATATAAAAGAAAAAAACTTTTTGAGCGTTTTTGGAAATCTTTATCATGAGAAACGCAAAAGTAATCAATTTTTTGTGTATCCACACGTTGTCCACACAAAAATTAAAGTATGCATACAAGAAAAAATCTGAAAAATGTTTGTTTCAGTGAAAAACTTTTTGGGTTTGTTTTTTTTGGCTTATTCGAAACAAATAATGTTTTTGGAGTCGCCATTTTAAAAAAAGCTTTTTATACACTTTCACCTTATAGACATTGTATGATTAGCCTTTTTTCGCCCAAAACTTTTGTTCATTATTTATGACGATACAGTGATTTTTTTTTCTAAAACAAGAAAAAGTTATTTATAAGTTCGATTACACGATTTTCACAAAATGTTTATGGTTTGTATGGTTTTTTCATACTTGATTTATGAAATTGTATGATTAGCATTTTCGGTATGTGGAGCTCAACCCGGCACAAGTTTAACCCTTTATTTAGTCTATTATAGGCATAACTATAAGAAAGCTATCAAGAGAAACTCCCTTATCTATACGGATTTTGATTATATTCCAACCTGCTCTATAAGGAGAGTTTTGTTACCCGCCCTCTGAGCCTGGTAAGCCGCACTTGATCCAACTATTCCAGCGCCCAACACGATTACGTCATACATGGCCTCGGAAGATTCAATAATTTCCAATTTTTCCATATTTTTTTGCAAATGGTTCTTAAACTCTCGATTTATACAGTGCTGATTTAAATTAACCGGACAAAACGAGCAAAACTTCAAATTTAAAACGCGTTATTCTCTAATAGGGTTGAGATTAGGTTAAAACTTATGAAACCTTGCTTAAAATTTTAGCAGGATTAATATGGTGTAATTTGTTTTGCGAAGTTCGGGTCCAAAAGTTTATCCCAAAAATGGGTCATTTTGGCTTTTCTTAGTTTAATCAAAAATTACGCCAAAAAATACCCAGTCGATCACAGACATAATTATTTCAAAGTGAGCTCCTTACGTAGCCCAACAAACTTTAAGCAGGGTATATTCTCCAAAAAAAAATTGAAAATTGTTTAAAAATTGTTTTTAAATAAATAGTTGGTTTTTTTTATAGTAGAAACGATCTTTTTTGTCTATCAAACAAAAATAAATTAACTTATACAATGTTTTGGAGAATATACCCTTCTTAAAATTTGTTGGGCTACGTAAGGAGCTCACTTTGATATAATTATGTCTGTGATCGACTGGGTATTTTTTGGCATAGTTTTTGATTAACTAAGAGAAGCGAAAATGACCCATTTTTGGGGTAAAATTTTGGGCCCGAATTTTGCAAAACCAATTACGCCATATTAACTCTGCTAAAATTTTAAGCAAGTGTTGTTTTCATAAGTTTTTACCTAAACTCAACCCAATTTGAGAAAAATGCGTTTTAAATTTCAAGTTTAACGCGTTTTGTCCGGTTAATTTAAATCAGCACTGTAATTGCTTCAAATGATCCAACAGGAGCTTGGGTTGCAAGATAACTGGCTCTGGGTAGCTGTTAAAGCCAGAAACTTTGTTTGTAAGGGAGGAGAATGAGATAAGAACAATTGATAACATATAACGTCAAACGCAGTTAAATCTATGGTTATTTCTTGACCTTCTTGTTTGTTCAGTTTAAAACTTGAACTGGTTGATTTTAACCAAACTAACGTTTTTTATGTAAGTAAATTTCAATACCAAACATTCAAAACAAATAATGCAAAACCAATTCATATTTGGTTTTTAATAGAAAAGCTAAAAGTATCGTGTCTGTACAAAACAGTCCCATACAAAACAGGAATATTTGTGCTCGGGGTGGTTTTTTTTTCTTCAGACAAATTTCGACTTTTTAACTAGCCATTTTTGACAGAATTTTTTTTATATCATTTGAAAGGCATTGTTGTCTTGAGTTTAAATTTGAAAAGATACTTTACCTGTGATCTTTTTTTGTAAAGTTTTGGGGGTTTGAAGATTTCCATTTGGTCCAATTTGGGACAATAAACGCGCGATTTATTTCGCGATATTAACGCGTAAGCGGAGATTTAAACCGTCTTAGAAATCGTTCCAAGTTGGTGGTTGGAAGAAGTTTATTTGCCATAATTGATTTGTTACTAGGAGCTAAATCTATCCTTTTGTACTTTATATGGCGTGTGGGGGGGGGGGTGATTTTCATAAAAATTTTCAACTTTTTTTAAGAAAAATTCATTTTATTTTATTACATTTAATTTTTACTGCTCTATAAACCTTAAAAGGCAGTCGGAACTTTCAGGGCTTCACCCTGATACGAGTTGTTATTACTTTATGGCGACAAATTATAAAATTACGGTGCCAATATATGCTAAACTTGAAGGGCAGAGAGCGCCAAAAAAACGCAGTTTTCTGGTCAAATTTCTCCAAAAACAGCCTAAAAACGGCATTTATGACCCATTTTTTTTTGTAAATTTTGCGTGCGATGCAAAATTTTTGATCAAAGATCAAACTACAGTCTTAAAATTGTTCTGGGAGGGCTCAGAAACTCAATTTGGTCGACCTAAAAAATTGTCAACAAAATTATTTCTAGGATTTTCTCGAGGGGTGGGGGGTCGTATTTTCAGAAAAAAAAATTGAAAATTTTGCCGACTTTTTTAAAGGTCAACCAAATTGACTCAATCAATAACATTAGCAGACCGAGTTTTTGCGCCTCAAGCTAATTTTTGAAAAAAAACCAAAAAGCCGTTTTCAGGAAACTTTGAACGTTTTGACTGAAAAATTGGGGCTTTTGGAGCTCCCTCACCTTTCAATTAGTATGTTTTGGCGCCCAAGACGCTTTTAGAAAAACTTCAGGATCGGTCAGCCGAAAAGTGATTTCTTAACGAGTACCAAAAGGGGACTGTTTGGGCCAGCAGGGGGCCGAATCCCTAAAGAGGTGGCGTCCAACGCGAAAAACTTGTATATTGTACATAACCTGCGTATGATTTGGATATAGTCTGTATAAATTTTGTACATAATCTTTATATAATCTGTAAATATTCTGTAGATAATCTCTAGATATTCTGTAGATATTCTGTAGATAGTCTGTAGATATATTGTAGAAAAATGTGTATATAATCTGTATAAAAACTAACATAGAAAATCCAAATTTGTCTTGTTTTGATAGTCATTATATAAAGAAACTATAATGTATAAAATCTTTGCAAAACAAAATGATTTCTAATAGAATATCTAATGGTTGTTATCGAAAATTTTACTGTATAAAAATGAAGTTTAATTTTTCTAAAGTCGGTTTTTTTTTTCTGTAGATAATCGGATTTTACTCAATATTGTCTTTTCGGGTGGTACACTAGAAGCAAAATTTTCAAAGATACGGGCTATTTGTCTTTTACCCAAACCAACGAATATTTATTTGTAGAAATTTATTCACATTGTCGTATTCTTACAAAAATTGGTATGCGGACTAACGTAGGTTATGACAAACACATTTGGCCTTCATACTTAACCTTGTAAAACCCCTCATTTAAACATAAAATTGATGCAAATATGAGGTGGAGGAAATAAGCCAAGGTACGTTCTCTAGCAAGTTTGCATACCCTTTGCATACAGATTAGAGGAAAATACAGTACTTTTCTCGTCAGTTGGAATCAGCAGCCAATCAGATTCGGGTTCTTTCTCTACACGCAACTCGGTTATGACAAACAGATTTGATCTTAACACTTAACTTTGTAAAATCCCTCGTTTAAACAAGAAATTGATGCATTTAATCAAAGAAATTTTTATTAGCTACTTTAATCCTGAAAAAATTAACGTTGAGTGGGAAGAAGTTAAATTGTTTTACTTGCCAATCTTTAGCTTGACAGTTCAATCCTCAACGCTATTGGGTGATTACAGAAAAAATGTATAAGGATAATTAGGCTTGCGAAAACCATTAACCGATCCTTTTTAATCCCGGGTTGAGGTGCTCACTTCAGGTTTCGACTTTCAAGGTCGAGCACATGTCATTGCTCGACCGAAAAAGATTAGTTGAGACCGAGGTTTATTTCGAGCACAACTTCGACATATACCTGGCGCACGGTCAAAACATACTTCGAGCGCGGTCGAAACACACCTCGAACACAGGTCGAAAAAAACCGGTTGTCCCGCGGTAATTCCGGTCAGGGAGAAAAGTTTCTTAGAAATTCAACGAGAATATTTCAAAATTTTTGAGTCAAAATGCAAGCCAGTAATTCAAAAGATTGAAATTTTGTTAATCTATACAAACATTTGAACTGCAAATAACATAGTGATTTCTTTTTGATAAAAATTGCATTATAAGATGTTACCAGAAAAGCATAAGTTAACCTTTAAATTTTGATAATTCATGTTATTGAAATTTAAACATACCCGAATTCGATGGAACATAATCAAAATATATCTAGCATGGGTTGAGCATGGTCGAGCACGTTAATTTTTGGCCGAGCACAGTCGTAATTTTGGTTTCAACACGGTCGAGATTATTTGTTTTGGTCGAGCAGGTCGAAAAATACCGAGTTTTTGTCGTGTTGGTCGAAGCATACAAATTCTTTCTCGAAACGGTCAAAATATAAAGGTGGTTCTTTCTCGAACCACCAGATTGGCATATAATCAAATGAGCCGAACAGCACCCAGTTTGGAAACCTTTGAGCTGAAATTGGGAAAACAAACCGGTCCCTCAAATTCACTGGAAAAGACACGTGTACCTGAAATTCTAAGTGAATCTTTCAATCAGCCGAAAATTTATAAATAATAAATATGAAAGAATAAATATAAAATGACGGTACAATGTAAAAGAAAAAAGTTCGACTAATTATGATTCAATTCGTAATCAAATTCTGAAATTAAAACAATTCAATGACATTTTGAAAGAAAAAGGATCAAAAATAACAAGAAGAGCGGGTTATTGAGCCAGTAGTAAAGAATATTCCGACCATATATTTCAACAAACTACAAGACTTATTTTTTCAAATTAGTGTATTTTTTTCTGCGTGTAATCTGACGTAAGACTGTAATTAAGGCATATTCGACATTCATATTAAAAAAGTAAAGCAGGATTAACAATGACCAGACTAGTAGCCTTATCAATTTTGGAAAAAAATGTTTAGAAGGGAAAAGTAAAAAAAAAATACAAAATTTTTGTTCTTTCCCTCTCTATTTTTAAATGGTCTTGACAACAACAACTTTTGAGCTTTTATTGTGATATATACGGGTAGCGAGTTGAGCTGGTATCCTGATAGCCAATTGTAGTTGCCGACCTTCTAGACCAAAATGAAATTAGCAATTGTTTTTAGAAACGGGGGATTTTTTGGTCCTAGTCCTTGCGAAACCAAACTGCATTTTGCATGTTTTTTTATCACATTAATCTATAGAAGTATCTAACCAGTACGTTAGGACCCTAGTAAAGCCTCAAAATTAATTTTTAATAGAGCAAAAGACTAAATTATACAGCCCTTTCCTTTATTGATTGTACGTTAAAGCCAGATATTGCAATTTTTTCTCCGCCGACTTGACCACTAACACCGTCAATCGTGTCTAGAGTTTTCTTTAGGTGAGTTCCAACCTCGGTTTTTCCAGTGGCTCGATAGTCTTACAAAAACTTGCTCGTTCTACCACGTGCTCGGCCGCCCACCGCGACTGTTAACACAAGGTTTTGCTGTAACACAGTACTGTTTTAATATAAGACCGTACCCGTTAGGTTATAAACTATCACAATTACACTTTACTGGAACCACAGAAACCATAGAAACCTTAAGAGAAAGGTTCAAACAGTTATAGTCGCCATAATATCACATTTTTTCTTCATTCACAAGGAGCTCACAATTGTTTGTCTAGTGTTGATAAACATACTATGTTGATAAACATCCTTACTTTCAAACTCTGTCAATTGTGTTAAATATTGCTGCCAGTTCTTTTCATCAATCCACAAATTTTTTTACTAACGCTATGAAAACGCCATGATGGCATTTAAAGAGCTTAATTTTTATTGAGCGCAAAAAATTTCAAAAAACCTTCAAAATTAAAAAAAAACTTTCCAGTGATTAACACAAAAAAAACTTGAAAAAATTGCCCATTGTTATCAAAAAAAATTCTCCGGAATCATCAAGAAAAATTTAATTGCATTTTAAAAGTATGGAAAAGCAAGAAATCAGCCCTTGTTTAATTGCAATGGCAACAGACCCCCGTTTTTTATTGACACTTATTTCAAACAAAAAAAAAGAGATCAGCCGTTGCAGCTTACGACAAAATTTATTTCTCACGTTAAATCAGTTCACACTCCAAAAGAAAGACGCTTTAAAATTCGCCTTTATAACTCCAGTTTTTTTTAAAATTTTGTCGAGGAACCCGTCGGCCAGGATTTAAAAACGTAAGACATAGGAAGATAAAGACAAAAATGGGCACTCCTAAAATATGATTTACCAAAACTAGGAGGAAATTATAAAGTTTGTCAGAAACTGAAAAACTTGGTTTTCTTTCAACTTAAATCTCATAGTTTTTTTCCACTTCTTAAGTTTACCCAACTACATATACTGAACAAAAATATTTTCTTTTTCCTTTTCAGCGCATTTTTCCAACATGATTGTTTTTAACCAC